CCCCCCCGCCTGCCACTGCTTTCTCTGCTGTAGCAATTGGGGGGGGGAGGCAGGGACATGAATTTTAAGATGACCCTCCCATAATTCAATTCTCTACATGGCACAATTTTCATGTATAGAATCAAAATATTTGGGGGGGGGGTGTCTTGAATTCAAGGTCATCTTGGATTTAGAAAAATGAAATCAGGAAAATTAGCCATTGCAGAAAATGGCTATCATCAACAGGTCCTCTATTGGCACAGACAAACAAATGAGTTAACACAAGGCAGACAAGGGTAGAGATTTGTAGTGTGTCAAGTACGGGGGGAGGGGGGGAACTGCCTACACTCGCATTGTTCCTTGGCTTTAAATGAAAGCTAACCTGCTGTAATGAAGCCCTCTAGTTTACTGTGGGGTAATAGGGTGTGCATTGGCAGGCACGGCTGAGTAACTACTGTGCTGCAAGTTTCTGCCCTTGTTTACCTACCAATGCCTGAATCTCTTTTCCTTCTACCCTGATGTTAACTGTTGAACATTATGGGCAGGGTAAAATGGTTTAATTCCATGACAGGAAGTGTAAGTGAGACTTTGGGTCCTTTTCCAATTGCAGACAGCCCACTCATTGCTGTTCTAAAACAATTGACAGGGTGTGGTTTGCTTTGGCTTTTTTGGAACAGGGGTTGTAAGAAACAGAGGTCACATCTAGACTGCAAATGTACTGTGTCTGGCACTGTTGTCAGATGCTACCTTGCTCTGCATGCACAAATCTTTCTTTAGAAGCAGGGTAGCCTGTCTGTGTGACATTGAGGTGACTTGATTAGTCACTAGTGAGTGACAGTGCAAATTAGCCCACTCCCAGAGTTGCGTGGATGTGGTTGGCTATGCTGCTGCTAGTTGAACAGCGTGGTATGTTTGAGGACTTTACTGCTGGGCAAAACAAAAATTTTTTGCAGTTGCTTTTTGTTTCTGAATATTACTGCAAATTCTAAATCCTGTCATTTTAACCATGAAAAACAAGCTGTATGTTTTCAAAGTTCAGAGATGAAGTATGATTGCTGAAAGAGGCAAGAATAGCTACAAGGTTTAGGTGACAGAGCAGCCATTGATTTCAGTGCAATTAAAATTTGCATAAGATATCATAAAACATGGACATCTAGTACATAACATCAATATTATCAAACAGTCCACAGCTCTAGTGTGGACAAGTATTGGATTAGACGGATTAAAAAATGTTTTCATTTGTTTCCTGAGAACTAATTTTTTTCCTTGACCGTTCTTAACAAGAAAATAATTCAACTGAAACTTTTATAAAGAAGGTTTGATATGATACATTTATAGGTTTTGGGTGACTTTTTTGTAACATGGGTCATGTTTGAATAATCTCTCCACATAGCTAAGTGTACTAAATTGAACTTGCTTGTTCAGTTTTCTGCAGTAGATAGTACTTAAATAGAAGTAGGACTTTCTAAAAGTATGACACTGGAACTGTGAGACAAGCATGAGTATATGTGTAACTGCATAAACTGAAATAGATTAAATATTAATCTACCATCTGTGAATTTCAATTTATCTTTTATTTAAATCCCAGGATAAGTAAATGTTTAGTAACAGAAATTGCACACAAGTCTATAAATTCCTGTTTCAGTACAGCTTGAATAGCTACCAAGTGAAAGCTAAAAGCACGTATTATAAATAAATTTGGGGCCTTCTTCCCTCTGTTTCCTCTATCCCATAGGTGCCTGAACAATTTGCTTTTACTCAGATATCTAAACATTGTTCCTCATAATCACTAAACTTCAGGAAACAGAAGATCATAGTTCTACCTGAAGTGTTTTCTTAGTATGTCATACCAGGCCATAAATACTAGATGAATCTTTCTTTGACCCCTAAAAAACAAAATCTGCTGTGGATTTGACTTCCCCATCCTGAAGTTAGTTTTGTGCATCAGAGTTGCACGTGGTGGTGTTTATAGTCTAAAAAAACAAACAAGCAAAATCCCCTCCAAAAATCAGCGTTACTTGCCCAGTTTGAGAGATTGTATTAGTTGCGGTTGAGATAATGTTTAATGTTAGGAAAAATTAAATAGGACCTTGGAAGGTGGGGGGGGACTACCCTCACTCTATTTTAATAATCATGAACAGAAAGAAACAAGTGGGGTGTGTTAGGGGGATCTTCCTTTTAATGAACAGATTTGAGAGCGGTACTGTGATCCGGGATCAGCTGAGACTCTTTACTTGACAAAAATGTGGTGGAGTTGCATATATGTTGAAATGACCATCTTATCTAGTAAATTAATAAATGTTTAATTACATGGACCTTTTGTGCATCTGTTTCAGATTTCCGATCGTCTCAGAGGTGGCAGTGAGGCACACCTTTAGCACAGGAAAATGAGTGAACTTGACCAATTACGCCAGGAGGCTGAGCAACTGAAAAACCAAATCAGAGTATGTATTAAACCTGGGTCTATTTAAACCATTTACACAGTGGTATGTATGCTGTCCGTGTCCATTAAGGAAGAGGATGGGACATGGACATGGACATGCATGTCTTGTTAGTTAAGTTGAAAGTTTATCACTCCATTTCAGAAGTTGATGCTCTGTCAGTGTAAGCACAGGTGGCTATAGAAAGATGTTTTCAGGTGCTCCACTTTCCAGTGAGTCTTCATAGTTTGAGTTAAATAAACTATGCAAAATGGTATACATGACCACATTTACTCGAATCCAAGATGAGCTCCCCCCCCACAATTTTAACTTAGGTGGTGGTAGGGGTGGAAAACAGCCCTTGTCTTAGATTCAAATATGAGGCAGTATGGGGGGTGGGGGGTGAGGGGGCAGGATGAGTAGCTACTGCAGCTCCAGTTCCAGTTGCCCTACCCTTTCCCCCACACCCTTTTCAACCACTCCAGCTCTGACTTGCACCAGCCTGGGGCACAAAGCATGTGTGCTTGCTCTGGCCCCAGCCTGGCCCTGTAGTAATAGGGGCAACAGCTTGAGCCAGGGCCAGAACTGCCACAGGGCTGGGACTGTAGCAAACACATGTTCTAGGCCTCAGGCTGGAGTAGGGCTGGAGCAAGGGTAAGCAGAGGCTTCAGGGGGGGGTGGGGAGAAGGGGGACCTGAGGCTGCAGGCAGGGGTGGGGGAGGTAGTGGTGGTGGGAAGGGCAGGCATGGGGGAGGCAAGTGGTGGGGTGGACAGGTGGCAGGGGAGAAGGGGGACAAGGGGCAGCAGTCAAGCCCCATTGCTGGCCTCCCCTACTGTCCCTCCAATACTTGCCCTACTGTCTGCCCCTCTACTGCCTGTTTGCTTCCTCCTCTGCTGTTGCCTTCTGTACTGTCTGCCCACCGATTGCTCCCACCCCTGCCACTGCTTGCCCTGCTTCAGTAGGTGGGGAGGATGAATTTAGGATGACTCTCTAATAATTAGATTCTTTACATGGACAATTATAATAACACTTTTATAAATTGTCCATGTATAGAATAGAATTATTGGGAGTTTGTCTTGGATTCATATAAATATGGTATGTTGAAAGATTTAAAAAGCAATGGTGGAGAGTCTACAATGTCCCTAGGCAGTCTGTTCCACTGCCTCAATGTTTTAACAGTGAAGATTTCTGGATTTCTGATCTAAACCTATTTTGCTGCAAGCCATTGGTCCATGCCTTGCAGCAAGAGAGAAGGGATTTTCCTTCTTTATGGCAGCCCTTCAGGATTTGAAGACTAATATCATGTCTCCTCCTAAGCACCTTTTCCACAAGTTGAAGACGGACGTTTCCTTCAACTTTGTGTGGCTTGATTTGCAAGCCCTTGATCGTTTTTATTGCCTACCTCTGGACCCACACTTAAGTTTTCCATGTCTTCTTTAAAATGTGAAGTCAAGTCAGCAGTACCTGATTGAACTCCCTGAAGAACCCAAGGTACTGAAGGAATTGGCAGAGGAGATCCTAGAGCCCATGTCTCAGTATATGCACAACATATTACTGCTTTATTTTTAGTACGTTTCATAAGGGATTCAGTCATCTGTCATATACTGCCAGAGAGCTTATAGGCTCACCTTTTTAAAATGTAGCAGAGAAGGATAGTTAGCTGCGTTAGTCTGAAGTCAAGCAGAAAGCATGGTAGAGATGCACCTTATAGACTAACTGACTATAATTAAGGGTCTACCCAACTCAAGGAGGCAGCCAGCCAATTTTGTGGGCAGATCACAGGGCCAGCTGTCATTTTCATGGGCCAACTGTGGTGAGACACCCCCCCCCCCCCCCCCATGGCTCTGATAGGCTGGGGGGCCCCAGTGGCCCCACCCTTTGCCGCTGATTGGCTGAGGACTGTCTGTCATGCAGCCCTTGCCACTGATTAGTGGAGAGGGGTGGGGTCGCACACCAGGCAGTCCTTCTAGCCAATCAGCGGCAAGGGGTGGAGGTGGAAGCCATCTTGCCTGCTCACCTTCATGCCTGCAGCCCCTTCCATGCCAGGCTGCACCCTTTCATACCAGTGGGAGGACTGCTGGTTCCCACTGTGGAGCCAGCATTTTATTTTTAGTAAGTCACTTCCCTTCCCGTCCTGCCCCACCCGCCCCGCTGTATTTTTAGAGATCACCCAATTTCGCAATTTCCATGAAATTTGCACAGTCATGATTTGAGTAGGTTCCTAACTAATTCTGGTTCAGTTAGTGTATAAGGTGCATATCTACTCTGTCTTTTGCCTTTCTAAAACTGTGTTGAAAAACTGAAAGAAGGCTGGAGGATCTTCCTTGGCTCGTAAGATTTCACCCTCTTGTAGGTGGTGGCATACCATCCCCACCAGTCAGCATGTTTCCAGAGCTCTTAAAAAGATTCTGAAGAATAAGTTAGTGCACTGGATCTCAACTTGCATATAGTCAGTCGTTTTAACCCTCATTGTTTCCTGAGTGCCCTGCTAGCTCAAGGTGTTGAGTCCCAATCACTTCAAATTGACAGTAAGTACCAGTTGGCTGGTATGCTTTTCTCACTAGCCATCAAGGGTCTCTACAATGGAGTGCAAGTGGTATCGTGGTTCTGCTTCAGGCACCTGTTAATACCATCTCTGTAAGATGGCAGTTTGAAGCCACCCTCTGACCCTTATCAAACATTGTGCTTTGGGTTTAGTTGATGGGTCAGGTGCCAGATCTGGAAAAGCAGCTCTGCAGTCACTTTTAGGCAGCTGCTGATATTCCTCACTTCCATCACTTTAAGGGGAAGCTGCTTCATACTAAACTAGAGAGTCTTATTCAGACGTGCTCATAAGAATAGTTATTTATCTTGCAGTAACTGGTGGGCTATAAAGAGGTGGGTCATTAACTTGGGCTACCTCCTGGCTTTCCAGAGACCTCAGCTACCACATACTTTGTGAAAGAATTAGAAAGGATTTTTGCTGCTTCACTCTATATGCCCTTGCTTGAGAGCACAAGCAGGCACAGGGTGTGTGTGTAGCCTAACATATAGGTATAAAATGCCTTATTGTGCTCATGACCCAACAGTGGGATTTTTTGACAAAAATATATTGGAGAGCCCAAGTCACTCCAGGTAAGTAACTGCTCGTTGTGATCAACAGAACTCATTCTCTTCACGAACAGAGTTTGATTAAGGAATGGGCATGTTAAAAGAGATCTCACAGTATAGTGGGTAAAAGTTTCCTGTACAAATGGAGTGTATATTATGCTATACCAGGCAAATGTGCAAGTTTTCTATGAATATAGTACAGCCTTTATGCCAGCACAACCATAAACAGACAAATTTATTCGTATGAAAGAATTAGCTTAGTTGCTTCTAGTTATGTTTAATGTTGTCATCAAGTGAGTAAGAGCAGAGTAGTGGTTACATATTTAAGATTAAATCCTGTTTTGAGAACTTAAACATGTCCTATTACGTGTGTGCTTTTGAACAAAGTCCAGACAGAATAAAGAACTTGTTTGGATTGTTGCCAGATAGCATGGGTGTAGTTTCATGGTTAGAGAAAACAGAGATAGAAGAGACCAGTCCATTTAATTTCCTTAGGGCAATGCAGGGCAGCTCTCTAAAGTATATTTTTCTCTGGTGGGATTTTTTTCCCTTTGTAGTTTTAAATCTTAAGCAGTGGGCCTTCAGACACTTCCTTGGGAGGCAGTCCTGCAGTCCATGCTGTCGCAACATTCATGTTTAGCCTATAAACAAGTTCTGTAACTTGGTCATGCCTGTACCACACACAGCTTTTTTTTCTCGGCTGGGTATTTACATTTTGTGGGTAATGTTCCATTCCCTTCTTAATTGCGCATACTTGGCTCCAATCATCTCTTCCTTTTAAAAATCAAACCCTTGTCTCTTGTTTGCCATTTGTTAATATTTTTGGTAATGTCCAGAATTGGAAGCTTTAGACCAGGTGCGATTGCATCGGAGCTATATAGGAAATGACTGCTTGTGACTAGCAAGCTAAATTTTGCATTGGCAGCATTTGCTTCTAATCAAAGTCTCTTCGGTGCTGCCTCTTCCCTTTAAGGTGAATGAAACCTATTCCCATTCTGTATATTGTGTATGTTTAATTAACGAGCTGTTGACTTCGTCTTTAGATATTTGATGAACATTTTAAATAGCACCATTTCCTTTTAGATGTGCTTGGAACTACATTCAATGACAAACTCAAACTATTGTAAACTTTCACAAGATGAATAAAATTGCTGTCTCTCTCTGAGCCAAGTCTATCTGTATAAATAACTATTGTGCAACAGCTCACAAATTATCCAGTCTTTTGTGTACATAACTAGCTTAAGAAACTAATATCATGTTGTTCCATCTTCGTTCGTTTTATTTTTGTTTAAACATAATAAAAATTGGTCTGCAATAAGGAGACTTCCTGCTTTGTTTTTTTAAGCGGATAAAAAAAATTAAAAAAAAGGTGTGGAACCTGAAAAGACGTTGAAGCTTGGCTAACATTTACTGGCCAAGTTAAGAGTGCTATGCTTTTCAGCTACCTTAGCTGACACTGTTTTATTCTGAAATATTTCTTAGCTCTGTAGAACAGTTTGTTTTTGTTTCCTTAAAGACAAAGCTATACTGTATATTGCTACCATTTTTCATTTCAGCTTCCCAGTACCTTGCTTTCCAGGTCTTGACTTGCCTCTAAGATGTACAGAATTTCAGCAATAAGTTTTCAAGGATAATTTATTATGACAGACACTTTGAATAAACTGACATGCTGTGAGCTAAGAGAACTTCATTTTGAGGATTAAAAAATTGCAGATACTATTATTTTAGTACCAGATTGGAAAATCCCATAGAAATGTATAACTAGAATGTGCATTAGAATATGTTGAATGCTTTTTTATCTGCTTGCATAAATATGTAAAAGGCCACATTTCAGATGGAGTGTCCTGTGTTTTATTAGGGCTCAGATTTGTTGCTGGCTTTCAGTTGCAGCTCAGATGTTTTCAAATCTTGAAACTATGAAAGTGCCCAGCCCAGTCAGTTTTATTTTGAAACTTGGTACTAACTATTCCTTCTCACCTTTGTTGAGGAAGTGCAGGAATTACCCTTTTCAGTGAAAGCACTAGACATGCACTTTGGCAACAAAGTCTAGCGTGGTAGGTTCATCTTCTATTTCTTTTGAGGCATAATGACTAGCTGATGTTCCAAATTCTTGTTGTTCTGAGGTCTTGAGTAATGTTGCAAATAGAATTTCAGGATAAATAGTCTAGCAAGTGTCCAGCTATCTCTGATGTGTGATCTCCAATTCTTTGTTGCAGGATGCTAGAAAAGCATGCGCAGATGCCACTTTGGCCCAGGTAAGCACTCTTTTAAAATGCTTGTGTTTTCTCAACAAGGGTGTCATAGCACCCTGAGGTGCCGTGAATTCCGTTTATTGGTGCTATGGGGTACTGCACAATATTAGCACTGTTAGGTGTACAAACCCCTACACCCAATTCACAAGATAAACCCAGAGATTTCAAATAGGAGTCCGTAGTGTCAAAAACATTCTGACCTGAAGAGTTGCTCAGGCATTTTCTATGCGATGCCTTGACTCTGGGGTGGCTTGAATCTAGAAAGGCTGAGAACCATTGATGTAGAGAATGTAGCTTCCTTTTGGCAGAACTAAGGCATACAATGTTGTGTTGGAGAGTCTTTTTCTGGTGGCATTTTCTTACTTGCCACCTTTTATGGTGCAACATTTCTCAGAGGACGAAATCTGTTCACACAAAAAAGTGACTGTATACTAGTGATGGGCATTGCATAAGAATTCTAAGTTTGGGAAATGGCCTGATCTGTCAGTTTGAACACTTAAGCTTTCTTGACATTTTTTTTGAAAAGAAGCAGAGTTCTTTACTCAAATGCTTTGGCTAAATAATTTTGTTATGTGGAGACAGGACAAGCATGCAGACATTATCCATAAAATGAAGTTATAAACTCTTTTGGCTCTGCTGTAATATACAGTTGTTAAGTTATTCACCATATTACTGGAAAGTGTTGTATGCTATTTTTTTAGCCAGTGCCTTCCTCTAGGCCAGGGAGGCCATTTATATTAAATTTAACCAGATAATGACAGATGTATTGATGACTTTTTGTTACTTTACTATTCACTTCCTCAAATGTATACTTTATCCTCCAAAAGTTAGATACATTATTAATACTAGAATTTTGAAAATATTGTGTTCAGAAAGTAGTGTCTGCTGCATCTAGTTCATTTGAGTTCATTTATCTTTAAAATGTTAGGCCATCTAAAATATACCGCAAAAGCTGTACAGGCAACCCCTGCTTAGCGCTCTTAATTGGTTCCTGAAAAACTGAGCGTTAAGCGAAACCAAAAGTATTTGACGACCCAAGATGGCAACCACAATTGTTTTTAATGATACAAGATGGCGACCGCGAGCGTTATAATGAAACGCGCTGAGCGCTAAGTGAAATCAGGTATCAAATTAAAAGGAGCGTTATAGCGAAATAGCGCTAAGTGAAACAGTGTTAAGCGGGGGTTGCCTGTATCTGTAATCCTTCCCCATCGGACCAAATAATATGTTATTCTGTTGTGGGGGTGGAGGAAGGAGAGGAATTGAAGTCTTTGTTAAAACTACGTGTTGGAGATAATGACCCGGGATCCAGGTTTTCTGTTTGCAACGGTAAAGCGTAGTAAAATATGGATTTTCTCCTTTAAAGGAGAAAAATGAGGGAAGCAGTGGGTTTCCCCTTCCAGGTTGGCAGAGTTCCAGCCTTCAAGGGGTTGTAGGGAGCAGAAGAAGGGCAGCCAGGTAGGGCACACATGCACATAGATTCATAGATGTTAGGGTCGGAAGGGACCTCAATAGATCATCGAGTCCAACCCCCTGCATAGGCAGGAAAGAG